AAATATCTAGAAAAACTGAACACAGACAGTTGCAACGGCAACCAGCTGACTGATCATCTGATAAAGAACACCTGACATTGCTTCCAGTTATCTATGTAACTCCACAACCATTGGACCCATGGACCGGATCAACATGCACTTGATCCTTTCCATTGTCCAAAACCAGATCAACATGCACTTGATCTTTTTACATCATCTAAAGCCGGATCAACATACACTTGATCCTTTCACATCGTCTACTGACAGACAGGAAGAAAAAGAATCCCAAAGGTTCACATCGTCTAATGATAGACAGGAAGAAAATAATCTGAAACACTCACATCGTCCAATGATGGACGAAGAGAAGCATCATATCCAAATCTCGCATCGTCTAATGATAGACGAGAGGAAAAATAATCCGCGTCAATGAACCTCAAAAACACCCATCAAATTTCAGAATCCTTTCGTCCATAGGAGTTGATGGAAAGGAAAAAATATCTTCAAAGGGGCCATATCATCAATTAAGAACTAACAGGAAGAAAACCACCTTCAAAGAGCCATGTCGTCAATAAGAATCAACAACTAGGAAATCCTAACATTCTTCAAAGAGCCCTGGCGTTAATAAGAATCGACAGCCAGAAAAAACCCCTCTTGGAATGTCACCTCAACCAATAAACAGAAAGAAAACCATATCTGAAAGATCGCCTTGAAAGCTCGCATCGTCTAAAGATAGACGGAGAGAAAACTATATCCAAAACTCTCACATCGTCTAATGATAGATGAGAGGAAAACGTATCCAGAACTCTCACATCGTCTAATGATAGACGAGAGGAAAATCATATCCAAATCTCGCATTGTCTAATGCTAGACGAGAGGAAAATGTATCCAAATCTCTCACATCGTCTAATGATAGACGAGAGGAAAACCATGCTGGGGAAACACGTCGTTGATAGGTACTGGCGAAAAGAAAAGTCTGTCGTCATCAGATGACTGATGGACAAAGCATAACCGACATATAATATGAAACCCGAGTAAACCGCTAAGCTGTCTAAACAAAGCTGCTGGATAAATGCCCCTGTATTGATTGCGAAGTGATTCATGTTGCCACAGAAGGCTGACAGAAACTGGCTTATGCTTCGAATGCATATGTGTATGTTTGAATATGGCGTAATGCTTCATGCGAAATGGAAATGCTACGCATTTGAGGATGAAATGAAAGGATGATGCAAATATGATAACTACATGCAAAGATGCAAATGCAGGCTCGGGGAAAGTTGGATATCGGAACAACTCCAGCAAAATAAATGCTGGAAAGGTGAAGCCAACTCCGCTGGGGATAACCAGACATGCCAAGTATGATTGGACTCTACTGGGGATAGCTTACACGTGCCAATGATGATTGGAATTTTGCTGGAGATAACATACGAAGTCTTTCGGCATACCAAAGGGAATTGGATTTGCAACGGATCAGGTACGACTGATGCTGGAAAAATATCATGTCTGAACTCAAAGGTTTTTGGTTAAAGGGTCAAAGGATAGTAACACGACTTCCCGACATTTGTCTTGCACTTGACAGGTGGCTGAACCTGCTTGAACAGCTCTTGAAGACATGGAGAGGAACAATTCCTGCGCTTCCGAATTTGCCCCAGCTCGTGGGACCTCTGTGGGGATATTCCTCGAAAGGAAATATGAAATCTCATGCCCCGACGACTTGATATGCACTGCCTAAACACCTTGAACCTCGGAGAGGTGCTTCACATTAATTTCCCCAAGGATAAGGAATAACTTCTGCGCTCTTAGGGTGGCATGCCCCAGTCTTACAATGACTTTGCCCCTGATTGGCCGATCTGTGGGGAAAGTGCTTCTTAGCTGCGAGAAATTCATTGAATCTCGACTTAACTGCTTCAGATTAATTGACTTATGGATGGCTAACTCCCATACTATCATTTGACATAACTTGCCCCAGTTCGATGGAGTATTCAGGCATTTCGCGTTCTATCCTGATCAATCTTTCCACTGTGGCAACTTTCCTGTTGTCAAGCGCTTACTCGCAAGTAAAACAAGTTGTCCTGTATAAAAGATATATTAAATGCAACACATATGACAGTTTTCGAAATCCAATCTGTTCACTGGAAAAATTCGTGACATAAAGTGAATAAATCATTTATCAACATGTCGACATTAATACAACACTGTAAGAGGAATCCTTTTATGAGTCAGTTTCGATGCGATCTTTACCGAAGTATGCTTTCGAAACAAACCTGCTCAATTAGGACTTTTTCAGGTTGTAACTTGGTCAGGTTCACGGTTTACAAGGAAAGGATAAAGGCTCAAAGTTATTTTAACCCACCCATTCTCCGTAATGTTCTCCAATCCTATATTCAGCTAATTCGAAACTAGCGCTCACCTTTCAAAGGTTAAGGACAGGAGTGACGGTTTGAGAAACCACCCGTTTTTGGAGTGATAGCCACTCGCTTTTCGTCTTTGGTGCCTGAATCACACGACTCGTCTTTTTTCATCATTTTTTTATTTCCCTAACTTTTGCCTGGACTGGCTCTTTCGAGCTTCTTTTAATTTCAAAGTCCAGCGGGATGCCCTAATTTTTGCCTAAGTCGCTCGTTTTCAAGATTCGACTTAGCGGGCTTTGTTCTCTTTTTTTTTCTTTTTCTTTTTTGAACAAATCATGTGACATCGGCTTGTCTGACTCTTTGGGGAATAACGTGACTATTTCACTCCTTAGATGACAAGGTTTAATCATTGTGGTTTTTTAGGCACGACCTGTACAGGTGCGATTTGTCCTTGAACGGGTACACTCCTATTGCGATTTAGATACCCGACCAAAATTAGCTGACACCTACCCCACCCCAGGTTAAGATTTAGGGTTTTTCATTTTTAGAAAGAAACTCCTACTACTAGGCTCAAAGGGGTTGACAAGGGATTATCATCCTTATATCTTCGGTGTTTGGGAATTCAAAACAATGCATGTACATCATCAGCAGGTTTTATTTCAAAAGCATACAATCGGAAGCTTGCGCGTCTTTTAACTTCGTCATCCTCCCCGAATTCCGCTTAAACAAGCGTGTGACATCTGCAAAAAGCAATTAGTGAACTCGAATGGATTAAATCAAAACATGCATATTCATTTCATTAATATCAATCAATGGAAACAACAAGTTTTAAAAATGAGATTGCACTTTAAACAGGAAAGAAATTACAAACATAAAGAAATAACAGGATAAAACGAAAATTGTCAGCTTCTGGGAACCGGGTTTTCACACTGATTAGCTGCTTAGGGAGATGCGACCCTTGAAGTCTTCAAACTCAATCAGACGGGCGATGTGACCTAGGCACTGGACGCAGAGAGACATTCCTTCTTTTCAGATTGTTGCGAGACCTATTCTGATTTTGGTATTGATAGCTTTGCTGCAAAGGCCCACAAGGTCGTGGACTCTGAACAGCAGAAACGCCCGGTGACTGGGTTTGGACTCTTGAGGACTCTTCCTTTTCAGGCGCTTTCATCCTTAAACTTGATCCCAGAACAGGCAGCAACTGTGGGCAGGGGGATTCTGATACCAAAGATTGTAGGATATACTCTTAACCTACTGCAGCTTTAGGAATGGGAATAGGAGTATCCATCTCATTTTCACGACAAGGAGCAAACTCGCCTGATACCTTCATGCCACCCGGCGTGAATTCAATTATCTTCGAATCAATCAGGTCCTGAACCTTATGCTTAAAAGCTTTATAGTTCGCGATGTTGTGCCCCTGTCCCCCAGAGTGGAAATCACAATAAGCATTGACATCAAAGCCTGATGGTGGTTGGCCAGTAAGTGGAGCCAAAGTCCGAGGCTTAACCAACCGAAGTTGGAGCAAGAGTTGCACCAACTGAGCATAATCCATGGGGATCTGATCAAAGATTCTATCTTGTGATTTTATCCTTTGACCATATCTTCTAATCCTAGGATTCTCCTGAGAAACAAGACGCAATTGATGACACGGAAATTTTGGAACCTCCGGTTGCACAGAAGATTTCTGACATACATTATGCTCTGGTAAAGGCTCCACAGACAGCAGTGGCGCAAGCATCTTTGCGGCAGCCTTAGGCATTTGATCACCTTCCTTCCTGAGCACGTTCCTTATCACTTCCATGATTACACTATAAAAATTACACTATAAAAAAATATTTAAAACTAACGTCTAAGCAGATATTTGTTCTTATCTGCTTTTTTAGCGAACGTACGTTAAAAATATAAAATGAATGCTTTTTTTTTTATCAATTTAAATTTAAATTTAAATTATTTATATAATAAATTTGATGAATAAACTTTATAAATGAGAAAAGAAAAAATATTGTATAAATTGTCGAGAAATTATTATTATTTCAGTTTTTTATTTGAAATATTAAGAAGTTATTTATTTAAAGGGTATTTTTGGTTAAAAAAATCAACAAGTTATTTAAGGGGTATTTTTGAAAGAAAAATAGATAAGTCTAAACTCTCCTATCCCTTTTTAATAAAGTTATTGATAACCTCATTTTTTTATTTTTTAAAATTCTAAGATATAAAAAAATTGGCAAAATAAGAAAATACTTAAAGTAATATTATATAAAAAGATATTTAAAGTAATTTTTTTTTTAAAATCTCTATAATTTTTTTAACAAAACTATATTACTCTAAAAATATCATTTGAAAACATCCTTTAATTTAATCCATATTCTATATATATATATATATATATATATATATATATATATATATATATATATATATATATATATATATATATATATATATATATATATATATATATATATATATATATATATATATATATATATATATATATATATATATATATATATATATATATATATATATATATATATATATATATATATATATATATATATATATATATATATATATATATATATATATATATATATATATATATATATATATATATATATATCACCCGTGACATTCTCAGAACTAGTATTGCTTTGTTTCATCAATTAAGCAATGGAGAAACAAAGAAAAAGCCATGCACCACACATTTTAGTGTTACCATATCCATTACAAGGCCACATAAACCCTATGCTTCAATTCTCCAAACGTTTGATCCAAAATGGAGCAAAAGTAACACTAGTAAACACAATTTCCATTTGGAACAAAATCAACAACAACATAGATCTAAACTCCTTTGAAATCGAAAGCATCTCAGATGGTTATGATAATGGTGGACTTTCATCTGCAGAAAGCATGGAATCTTACAAAGAAACATTCTGGAAAGTTGGACCAAAAACTCTTTCTCAGCTTCTTGATAAACTTCAAAGTTCAAATAAACCCGTTGATTGTGTTGTCTACGATGCTTTCTTACATTGGACTTTTGATGTTTCAAAGAGTTTTGGAATCCCTGTTGCTGTTTTCTTAACTCAAGCTTGTTCGGTTAATTCTATCAATTTTCATGCTTTTATGAAATGGATTGAGTTGCCGATATCGAAAAGTGAAATTGTGTTACCTGGATTGCCTAAGCTTGAAGCTTCTGATTTGCCATCTTTTTTGTACCAATATGGAACATATCCAGGCTACTTTGACATTCTTACCAACCAATTCTCAAAAATTGATCAAGCTGATTGGGTTCTTGTCAACACATTTTATGAACTTGAGCCAAAGGTAAATGAATTTACTTGTATATATTGAGTTTTTGTTTTATCTTTTGATGATGTTTTTTTGTGACTATTGCATGTTGTAGTTGCTTTTGTTGTTTTATATCATTGTACAAATTACACAATATTACTGATTGCTAAATGGTTACGCCATTTAAGTAAAGAGCATTACAGTTTCAACGTTATAGTTATACAATTGTTCAGTCAAATTTTAAGATTAATACAAAAGTTTAAAATTATTTGAGATGTCCTACTCAAATTATAGTCGCAAATTTTTTTAAGCCTTGATTATAAGTAAATTTGATATTGATGATGAATATTGCTATTTTATATGAAAACATAATTTAGGTTGTGGATTGGTTGGCGAAGAAATGGCGTTTAAAGACAATAGGACCATGTGTTCCATCTATGTTTTTAGACAAAAGACTTCAAAATGACAAAGATTATGGAATAAGCATTTTTGGTCCAAATTCAGAAGCTTGCATTAAATGGTTAGATAACAAACCTAAAAATTCAGTTGTGTATGTTTCTTTTGGAAGCTTGGCAGGTCTTAGTGAAGACCAAACAAATGAAATAGCTTATGGATTAAGAGATTCTGGTGTGTATTTCATATGGGTTATTAGAGATTCAGAAAAGCATAAAATTTCGAAGGAATTTATGGAATTATCATTGGAAAAAGGTTTAATTGTGAATTGGTGTCCACAACTGCAAGTGTTGACACATGAAGGTGTTGGTTGTTTTGTGACACATTGTGGTTGGAATTCAACATTGGAAGCCTTGAGTGTTGGTGTTCCCGTGATTGCAATGCCACTTTGGACTGATCAAATCACAAATGCTAAGCTTATTGTTGATGTGTGGAAAATTGGAGTTAGAGCTGTTAAAGATGAGAAAGAGGTTGTTAGAAGAGAAATTCTTGAGGATTGTGTGAAGAAAATAATGGAAACTGAAAAAAGAAATGAAATAAAGAAGAATGCTATGAAATGGAAGAGTTTGGCTAAGAATTCGGTTGACCAGGGTGGAAGTTCAGATAAGAATATTGTTGAGTTTGTGAAAGGATTAGCTCTCTATCAAACTACATAGTTTGTTTTCGTATTTTCCAAATTCACAAAGTCAGTACATTGAAAATTGATATATTCAAGTTCGACTAACACCTAAAATATGTCAATTTTTATTTATTTTTAATTCAAATATATTAAGTTTAAAATTGAGATGTTCATTATGTTATGTTAAATCCAATGTAATTCATTAAATTTCAGTTTTATTCGAATTTGTATTTTCATTTGAGTTTTATTTGAGTTTCATTTGAGTTAATGTATATAAATTTAGAGTATTGAATTTTAGAGAAATTGAGTTTGGGTTAATATATATAAATCTAGAGTTATTTTTGTTTGTGGGTGAATTGAATTTTAGAGAAATTGAGTTTGTTAAAAAAAATAGTTAGCCAATTGGCTAAAATATATATCCTTTCAAATAAATTATTAAAGTAATTATTTAAAAAAAAATAGGAATCGTGATTTAAATTGGCACACGCACAATAAAATTATACATAAGAGCAAATTGGAATTGTGCATACTTATAGTGATAGCAAAAAGCATAGTAAAAGTCGATCTATAGTCATATCCTGAACCACTTATACTTACAACATTTTATCTATAATTTGTTGTTCCTACATCAAATTACTGTAAGTATAAGTCTACCGAAAATTGATTTTTACCACATTTTTTTGCTGTCACATTAAACATGTGCTATTGTTAGGCCGACCCGGTGCATGTGCAATGAAAACCACAACACATAATCTCAAATAATTTGGAACCTCAATTTTATTTTAGATTTTATAATTTAATGAAATAAATAATATTTAACTCATTTTTAAAAATAAGCAATATTTAGTATGTAGTTAAGTGGTTATTGTAAGTTTTAAAACCTGTATTGGAGTCTATCTGCAAAATATTTATGTTATTATTTTGTAATGAGGTTATTTTATCATTTTTGTTTCTTGGAACCGGTTCTGACTATTGTATAATTTTATAATGCATAAGTCATTGTATAATTTTATAATGTATACGTTAATTTGAGTGACTTTTTTTTTTAAAATAATCACTTCTAAAACGATGATTATTTTAATATATAAGTTTTAAAAAATGGTTATTTTAAAAAAAATAACAAAATCTCCATAGTATAGTTGTTGACTTCATTCAAAGCTAACAAAAACAAGGTCGTTAGTTTTTGCCGTAATTACTAATATTAAAATTAGGTGCCTACTTCCTTACCCAACAAAAAATAAAGAGTAACTTTACCCATCATAACTGTCATAAATGTATTGGTTAAGAGATTTGTCACTTATCATGAAATTAAAAATTATAGTTTTCAACGATAGCAATAAAGTTTTGATAATTTCCTATTTATTCTATTTGAATGCATTGATTATGCACAACTTCATATGAGTAACTTAAATGGCCAGTCAAACGTACAAAATTCTTCTGCACCTTTGGAAACAAACATTTGCTTAGTAAAACATTGTTTTTAATGTTTCTGGTTTATTATTCTTTTCATCTATAAAAGCTTTAATTCAAAATTAATGAACGTGGTTATTAATTTATTTTGTTTTTATTTTTATCAAAGATGAATCTTCATACTCTTTTTTAATCCGTTGAATTTGTATACATCAGCGGTATAAGTTTCTTTTACACGTATTTAGTTTAATTAAATACCGTCAAATAAAAATAAAAAATATTTTGATTGGAACATAAAAATGATTTATATTGTCCACTATTATAAATTAATTTATTTTTGTAAAATGTGCTTTTAAAATAACTAATATTATCTATTCCAAAATAACTAAAAAAATATTGTTTGGACAATATTTATAATATAAATGTTTGAATTATATATATATATATATATATATATATATATATATATATATATATATATATATATATATATATATATATATATATATATATATATATATATATATATATATATATATATATATATATATATATATATATATATATATATATATATATATATATATATATATATATATATATATATATATATATATATATATATATATATATATATATATATATATATATATATATATATATTGTTTTGGGTCGGTCAGAAGTTCGAAAGTTAAGACATTTCATCTCAAATACACTTATCCGACGCAAAGTATAAAGTCAATTCATTCAAAAATTCATAAGTCTCTTGTAAGTGTGCTTGAGCAATTGTAATATGTTTGGTTATAGTGAAAAGCTCTTGTTGAGACAAGAAGGCATACATTTCTAATCCTAACTCTATAATATGTTTTGCTATAGTAAAAACCTTTGTGTTTGTTGCACAATTGTTATACTTTTGATTATGTATCAAAGTATAGTAGTTATTTTTTTCTACTAAATTATTTGTTTAAAGTAGAAGAAGTCTCTTGCTTGAGCGCTTGAGCATTGAAGTCTCTGGTTTGTGTACTTGATCATTGAAATCTCTTTCTAGGTTGATTGAGCAGAAGTCTTTTGCAAGGTGCCTTGAACAGAAGTCTCTTGCAAGGTTTCTTGAGCAAAAGTTTCTTTCTGGGTCGATTGAGCATTGAAGTCTCTTGCAAGTGTGCTTGAGCAATTGTAATCTGTTTGGTTATAGTGAAAAACTCTTGTTGAGACAAGAGTACTAGACTACTCTCATTTAAAGAGAGGAACCAGGATAATCTTTGTGTATTGCTTGCATTTACTTTTGATCTATTTATTTCCGATGTTGTTACTTAATCTGATATCAGACTCTGAACGTGGTTTAGATTCTGAAGTTCTTATATCAGAAGTGAAATGGATTTTTCGCGTACACAATTCAACTCCCCTCCTTCTTATGTATTTTTCTCCCCTTCAAAACAGACTAACAAACATAAAAATTCAAAATTTAATTAATCAAGAAGGAAAAGGTTATTCTCAACTGACACTTTCCAACCTTAGACTAACACTGTCTCAAATTGTTAACATTGGAGTGTCAACAACATGTAAAATGGACTAACAACATATAAAAATTCAAAATTTTAAACAATCGGACTCACGGAGGTCCACCATCACTTTCCCATACCACAATTCACAAGTATCACACTAGAAATGGTCCTTCTCAATAGACTCTTTCCAACCTTGAACAAATGCCGACTCAAATTTTAAACATAAAACCGTCCACAATAGATTAAACATACTAACAAACTTAGAAATTTAAAATTTTAAACAAACATACTTTCGGAGGTTCACCATCACGTTCAAAGATCTCAATTCACAAGTATCGTATTAGAAAAGATCCATCTCAACTAACTCTTCCAACAATAGATAAATATCAACTCAAAGTTTCTACATATGGTCGTCCACAACGTCTAAAATGAACTAACAAACAAAGAAATAAAAAGTATTAAACAATCAGACTTTCGGAGGTCCATTATCACCTTCCCATATCATAATTTACAAGTATCACACTAAAGATGATCCTTCTAAACTGACTCTTTCCAACTCTGGACAAACACCGACTCTATTTTTTTAACATCTAATTATCCACAACATGTAAAAAAACTAATAAACATAGAAATTATAAATTTTAAACAATCAAACTTCTGGAAGTCCACCATCAATTTCCCAGACCACAAATCACAAGTGTCACATTAGAAATGATCATTCTCAACTGACTCTTTCCAATCCTAAATGAACGCCGACTCAAATTTTTAACATCAGACCATCCATAACATGTAAAACAAACTAACAAACATAAAAATTCAAAATTTTAAACAATCGGACTCCCCGAGGTCAACCGTCACTTACCATATCACAATTCACAAGTGTCAGACTAGAAAAGGTCATTCTCAATTAACTCTTTCCAACCCATGACGAACACCGACTCAAAGAACCACTGTCACCTTCAAATATCACAATTCACAAGTTTCACATTAAAAATGGTCAGTCTCAACTAACTCTTTCCAACACTAGAAGAATATCGACACAAATTTTCAACGTTGGACCATCCACAATGTGTAAAACAAACTAACCAACACAAAAATTAAAAAATTTAAACAACTGGAATTTCGAAGGTCCACTGTCACTTTCAAATATCACAATTCACAAGTATCACACTAGAGAAGGTCCTTCTAAAATGACTATTTCCAACTCTGGACGAACATCAACTCAATTTTGTTAACATCAGATCGTTCGAAACATGTAAAACAGACTAAAAAACATAGATATTCAAGATTTTAAACAATCGAACTTCTAGAAGTTCACCGTCAATTTCCCACACCATAATTCACAAGTGTCACACTAGAAACGATCATTCTCACCTGTCTATTTTCCATCCTGGATCAACGCCGACTAAAATTTTTAACATCAGACTATAGATAACATGTAAAAAAAATTAACAAACATAAAAAATAAAAAATTTAAACAATCGAACACCCTGAGGTCCACCATCACCTCCCATATCACAATTCACAAGTGTCACATTAGAAATGGTCATTCTCAATTGACTCTTTCCAATCCTTGACGAACATCAACTCAGTTTTTTAACATCAGGTCGTCCACAACATGTAAAACGGACTAAGAAAAATAGACATTTGAAATTTTAAATAATCGAACTTCTGGAGGTCCACCATCAATTTCCCAGACCATAGTTCACAAGTGTCACACTAGAAACGACCATTTTCAACTGACTATTTCCAATCCTGGATGAACGCCGACTCAAATTTTTAACATCAAACCATCGATAACATGTAAAACAGATTAAAAAAACATTAAAATTTAAACAATCGAACCCCTTGAGGTCCACCATCACCTCCCATATCACAATTCATAAGTATCACACTAAAGATGGTCTTTCTAAACTCACTCTTTTTAACCCTGGACAAACATCGACTTTATTTTTTTAACATCAAATTCTCTATAACATGTAAAAAAAAACTAACAAACATAGAAATTATAAAGTTTAAACAATTGAACTTCTGGAAGTCCACCATCAACTTCCTAGACCACAAATCACAAGTTCACCTAGAAATGATCATTCTCAAATGACTCTTTCCAATCCTAAATGAACGC